AGCACATTTGTACATCGTTTCTCAAAACATTTTCTCTCCATTTAAACCCCCGACATTAGGTCCTCATTTTTCCCCTCCCTCCCCGCTCCCCCCTCGCGCATGAGCCCTTGGCTGGTACCATTTCTGTTCAGTCTTCCTTCTCATCATTCTTTGAGTATTCCTTATTTTTTAAAGACACAAGATGATCCTGGCTCATTTTGTTCTTGCTATGCTCTAGGCTTCAAATCTGCCTTTTCTCCTCAGCATCCTGATGATTCCTCTTAGTAGAGAATGTAACTTAGAAGCTAGATTCAGGTGCTGGGCATGTGAGAACCTACCTCTTTTCTGTTAGCCTGAACTAATTGTGGTAAGGAATTCTGTCTTTTCATCTTTGAATGATGAAGGCTTAGTCTAATACCTGGCACTGAGTAAGCCTTGGATGATAAGTATTTGGTAAAAAATTAACTGGTGAATTATTTGCACATTTTTTACTATGCATTGACTTAATCCAAGGAAGGAATCATTGGAAAACAGTCTTCCTCATTATCATCCAAATAGTATCTTCTATTTTCAAGGTCTCATTTGATAGCTATATCTCACTTCATAGACGCCCTCTTTCACCGCTCAGTTTCATCTGTTTACAGTTCTTTCCATGCAGCGGTGTTGCCTTTCTCTGTCTTTCTCAGCATGCTTTATTTCTCCATTTCCAACAGAAACATGACCTACTTTTTTCTTAGTCTCTAAGTTCCGGAGGTCCTGACTTACAAACAGCATATTTCCAGGGTGCTTTTTGAATGAACTCAGTGGCAGTGAGATTTGTTGTTTGGGTTTTAGCAGAGAGAAAACACTGATATTGTTTGCATTGTCTGTAGAGGTTAGAGATTGAAAATAATTATGGAATGATATGAAAATTTAGTCTAAAATACATATTGCTAGATGAAATTTACAAGGGGCAGAAAATATTCTATTTTTTAATTATTAAAATTAGACTGTGCATAGAAAAATGTTGCAAAGATCATGTGGCCATCTCTAGCTCCAAGGGAGCCTAGGAAATCAAGTTAGATATATTAACAGTTGAACAAAATCATTCTTCATAAAATCACAAGAGAAGGGGACAGAAGTGAGTGGTGAGATGGGGGCCGGTGAGAGGAGAGATTCTGGAGAAGAATGTCCATTTGAGGAAGCCCCATTATACTGCCACAGTATACGTTCATCCCTTACCCTATCATTTGATATGGTCAAATACTCCCTGAGTAATCTACTCCCTACCACCACTGTGTACCAGTTTGTCATGCTATGGTAGGTTGTGTGTGACTATGATGCTGGAATCTATGTCACCAGTATTTTAAATACCAGTAGTCTCTCCCAAGGTGAACTAGCTCCACTGGAGCTTCCAGACTAAGAGCAGACAACAAAGAAGGAATAGGTTGTTCATCTCTAATGGATTAGCCACTGAAAACCTTATGAGTAGCAGCAAAATTTTTGTCAGATTTCATGCTGGCAGATGAGCCCCTGGGGTTGGAAAGCATTCACAATACAACTGGGGCAGCGCTGCCTCTTCCAAGTATGACGGAGTACGACCATAATGACGGAGTAATGCTTTTGGGTCCTTACTTACTCATGGGCATGACTCAAAATAAGAAGAAACGCATGCAGATATCTGTTACTAATTGGAATGTGGTTGTATAAAATATGAATCTAGGACAGAAGTTGTCAAATGAAATGGAACTCAAAGATCTATATCCTAAGTCTTAAATGAGCTGAAATGTATTGGCAATGTTGGACCAGATGATCATAGTTTACTATGCCAGAAAGGACAAATTCAAGAGGAATGGTGCCACATTCATCTTCAGAAAAGATCATTTTCAGATCTAACTTGAAGTATACATCTGTCTGTGATAGAAGAATATCTATATGCCTACAAGGAAGTCCAGTTAACACAACTATTGTCCTCATTTATGCACCTACCACTAAAGCTAGTAATGAAGAAATTGAAGGACTCTTAACTTCTTCAGTCTGAAACTAATCAAATATGCAATCAAGATGCATCGATAATTATTGGTGATTGGAATTTGAAAGTTGGAAACAAAAAATAATTTTTGAAAAATGTAACCTTGGTGATAGAAACGAAGGTGGAGCTTGCATGATAGAATTTCATAAGACCAATGGCTTCTTTGCAAATACCTTTTTTCAACAACATGAACAGTGACTGTGTACTGGACCTCATCAGATAAAGCACAGAAGAATCAAATACACTACATCTGCAGGAAGAAACAGTGGAGAAGCTTAATATTAGCCGCCAAAATGAGGCCAGGAGCCATCTATATAACAGACCATCGGTTCCTTTCATGTAAGTTGAAGAAAATAAAATAAGTCCACAAAAACCCAAAGTACAACCTTGAGTATATCTCACCTGAGTTTCAAGAGCCGATCTGACTCATTGAACACTAAGGACAGAAGACCTGATGAGCTGTAGGATAACATCAAGAACGTCATACACAGTGAAAGCAACAGATCATTAAAAACGCAGAGAACAGAACGATCAAAGTGAATGTCAGAAGAGACTCTGAGACTTGATCTTGAACATAGATAGATCATTGTGGTTAGTAGCCATCAAATTGGATCAGACTCTTAGTGACTGTGTGCAACAACAAAACACTGCCTGGTCCTGAACAACCTTCACAATTGTTAAGCTTATTGTTGCAGCACTATGTCAATCCATCTCCTTGGTGATCTTCCTCTTTTTTGCTGACCCTCTGTTTTACCAGCATGATAACCTTTTCCAAGGACTGATTTCTCCAAACCACATATTCAAAGTATGTGATTGCCTCAGCTGGAAGGCACAGAGCTCCAGGTCTGTGAGCAAACCCAGCTCCCCTAATTAAGTGCTCAGAGGCACCCCACTCCAGCAGCCAGCCTCTAGGCCAAATGCACTCAACTTTACTGCCCTGTGGGCTGGGAAGTCCGCCACTCTGCCCCTCTCACGCTCTAGTTCCTCGTTGAGCTGTTCCAGCCCCACTGTTATTCCTCTGATGAAAGCTGTCTCCAGGATCAAGGAGGTTCACTGTGCAAACTTCTTGCTGGTCGTGAAACCCGCACTTTCTGCTTCTGAGATGGCTGATTTTATACCTAGAAGAATGACAATCACAATTAACCCTGTTAATAGTTACTCTAATTGAAGCATACAGTTCAGTCAGTATGTCCCCCATGCCTGCCCAGACCCATCAGGAAAGCAAAGGTCATTTGGTGGGAGTTAACAGACACCATAGCTTGAAAGCCATATTAAATAGTTCACATATTGCACCCCTGCTCAAATTTTTCTTCTAATCTTTAACCCCAGATATCCAACTTCTGGTTGAGAGTACTTAGTTGTCTCACTGGCACAACTAGTTTGTAGGGTTATATTATAAGATCTTGGATATAAGAGATAAGAGCTCAAAAGGTAAGCAGGAGTTAGAGTAAGGTCTCAAACACCGTGTTTAGAGTAAGGCAGAAGATGGAGACTGACAAAGAGTGAAAGGGTTAGACTTGCATGTTAGAAAGGATACTTTGCCAGCCTTGTGGAGTATAGAGGATGATAAAACTAGAATTACATCTCCCCCTTTCACGAATATTTCAGGTAGTAGTAGGACCCATCCAATGATGAATGCAGGAGAGAGGAATCTATGGAGCCAGATCTAGGAAGATGTGGGAGCATACAGAGTACAGAATTCAGGGGACTTAGATAGGCCTTGGTCAAGAAGTGGGCCCCTCTCTCTTGACAGACTGGCACAGAGAAAGTCTGTGTGCATGCAGACACCCATTTGGAAGAGGAGATGTGAAAGTGTGAGTATATTGTCTTCTGTAAAATAGGAAGCACAATTATTTGATGAAAGCAAAACTAAAGAAAAGGCATGTGAGGGAGGGGAAAAATGAGGACCTGATGTCGGAGGTTTAGGTGGAGAGAAAATGTTTTGAGAATGATGAGGACAATGAATGTACAAATGCACTTTACACAATTGATGTGTGTATGGATTGTGATGAGAGTTGTATGAGCCCCTAATAAAATGAATTTTTTTTAAAAAAGGCATGTGCTAGGGAGTGTGAGATAAATTTATAGCATTTGCTCAGATTTCAACGGATATTTAAAAAATCATCTAGTACTTGAGAATTAAAATTAACATAGGACTTCTAATGTTAGTTATTTACAAGCAGGTTCTTTGTTGTTCCTCGGAGGTTGACATGATTCTGACTTAAAAACTCATTTATATTGTTAATGGTGCTCTTTAAAATGTAATGAAAGGTAAAAAATGTTTACATTAAGACAGGAGGGCTTTTTTGGGAGACAAAACATATTTCATTTGCCAAAGAATTTTGCTCAACTAACTTCATTTTCCCTTCTCTTTCAGGTCATGTATGGAATGCTGGTCTTCACATTAGTACTACGTTCTATTTATATTGTTACATGGTAAGTATCCTGGATAATCAACACTATGATTACAGCATTGTCAGACAAATAACAGTAAAATTATTGTCAAATTTAAATAACACAATTAAAACCCAGCTCCAGCAGGGATATTCATAGAAACCTATAGCACAACATTTATTAATGGTGTATTACAAGCAGTACTAGTTCTTCAAGCAAGCTGTGTACAGGCATGACATCAAAACAGGAGTTATAAAATCAAATATGAAAAAAACTAACTATAGGCACCCTTTTTGAAAAATGCTTTAGGGTACATTTATATGTTTTAAAGGCTTATTTAAGTATATTTCTCAAACCTACTTGACTAGGATACTCTACATACCACCTCTCAAGGAAGGCTACTGATATCTCAAAAAATCACTTCCATAAACTATCACTTGGGAAATGGACATAATTTTTATAGAGTTCATGAAGATTAAATATGAAATTTTATTCATATGAGTACCTTAAATAGGGCCTGGCCATCTAGCAGCAATTCAGTAAATAAATAGTATGATTTGTGGGTTGGTTTTCTTTTGCATTTTTCAATTAAACTTTGATTTTGAGATGATTGTAGAAGTGCATGCATTTATAAAGAGTAATATACAGTGATCCCCTATGCCTTTTACCCAACTTCTTCCAATGGTTACATTTTGTAAAACTCCAGTATCCATACAGGTATTTAATTTAACATGGATATAGTCAAGATGCAGAACAATTCCATCATCACAGGGCACCTATGTTACCCTTTTATAGTCACACCCACTTCACTTCTGTCTCCCCTCGCCTCTCTCCTCCTGCCCCTTGCCTTTAACCTCTAGAAACCATTCATCTGTTCTCCATTTCTATATTTTTATCATTTCAAAAAGGTTACATAAATAGAATCATATCATATACTTACTCTTCACTTATTAACTGTCTTTTTATCCTTCATGTCACATTTACAACATTGGAAACATTCTCAGCTAGCACCTCCATTGGTCCAGGCCAGGGTACCCTCCATGAGCCAGGCCAAACAATACCAGAGGCCCCAGCAATGGCATGAGAAACAGTGGCTGATTGACTGTGGCATACCTTCTCTCATTCGTATGCAACGCCTCAGTCTGGCCACAAAGAGCACAAGGTGACATTGGGACAATGCTACACCACAGGCAGGCAGGGGGAGGCCAGTCAAGGGCCTAAAGATGCTGAGAGGTTAGTGGGAGATGGCACAAATGGAGGGAGGAGGGAAGGGGACCCTAAAGGGCTGGGACACACAAGTCCAGTGGGATCCCCCCACCAGGGCAGCTGTAGGTGGCAGGCAAAAGATGAATGGGGTCCTGGCCAAGAGTAGTAGGCAGCAGACATTGGAAAACATCTGATCCCACCCCACTTGGGCTCTACGGTAGTGAGGAAGAGGCCTCCCACATCACACACATCTCAGACACACCAGGAGTGCCCAATGGACCGTGATTGACCAGAGTGTGGGGATACCAGCCCCAAAGATGGGACATGGCCCTTGGCCCTTGCATAACTCTGGTTATGCATAATAGCATGGTCTTTGGCACAATCATGTTGATAAGTTTAGAGTAGGAGTATAACCTTTAGGTTGTTTATTGTTCATCCCATTTTTGTATATCAGTAATCTGTTCCTCCTTACTGCCGAGTAGAATTCATAATTCATAAGGACCCCTGGTGCTATTGTGGAATACGCATTGGGCTGCTAACTTCAAGGCTGGCCATTCAATCCCACCAGCTACTCTGATAGAGAAAGATGAGATTGTCTACTCCTCTTGCAAAGACGTAGTGGTGCTGTGGGTTGGGTGTTGGACTGCTAACCACAGTGTCAAGAGTTCAAACCTACCAGCTGCATCTTGGGAGGAAGATGAAGCTGCTGCTCCCATTAAGATATACAATCTTGAAAATCCAGTATAGGGTCTCTGTGAGTCAAAATGAACTCACTGGCAGTGGGTTTTTCAGTGGGTTCTGTTGTCTAGTTGCTAGTTCTTTATCAGATATATAGTCTGTAAATATTTCTCTTGTTTTGTCCCCTATCTTTTCATCCACGTTAGAGTCTTTTCACAAAGGAAATTCTGATGAGGTCCAATATATATCTATTTTCCTTTTATGTGTTGTGCTTTTAGTATCAAATCTGTCAACTCTATACCTAGCCCTAGATCCTAAGATTTTCTCCTATGTTTCTTTCTTTCTTTTCCAAAAGTCTGTATAGTTGTATATTTTATGTTTAAGGCTGTGGTTAATTTTGAGTCAGCTTCTGTACAAGGTTTGAGGCTTAGGTGGAGGTTGTTTTTGTTTTTTTCTTGGCCTCATTGTTCCAGGTCCATTGGCTCAAAAAAATAGTCTTTATCCATGGATTTGCCTTTGTACCTTTATTAAAAATCATTTGGGTATACTTGTGTGGGTCTGTTTCTGAGTTCTCTATTCTGTTCCACTGATTTATGTGAACATTTCAAAGTTTATCTTTAAGTACATTTCTTTCAGTGATCGGTTAAGATTCATACACATACATATAAGGAAGACTAGTAATATGACTGTTATTCAAATGCATGTACCAATGACTAATGCCAAAGATGAAGAAATTGAAGGTTTTTGCTACCTTCCAAAGTTTGAAACGGATCACATATGCAATCAGGATGCATTGATAATTACTGGTGAATATGAAAGTTGGAGGAAAAAAGACATGTGGTAGCTGGAATATGTGGCATTGGTGATAGACATGAAGCTGAAGTTTGCATGACAGAATTTTATAAGACCCTTTTTCAACAACATAAATTGTAACTATTCTTGTGGACCTCGCTGGATATAATATTCAGAAACCATTGCCTAAATCTGTGGAAAGAGACAATGGAAAAGCTCAATATCATAAATCAGGCTCTTTGGACGTGTTGTCAGGAGGGACTAGCCCCTGTAGAATGACATCATGCTTGGTAAAGCAGAGGATCAACAAAAATGAGGGAGGCAATCAAGATGGATTGACACAGTGTGTACAGTGGACCCAAACATGGCAATGATTGGGACTGTGAGGATGCCTCGGGCTTAGGCCATGTGTTGTTCTGTGGCATGTGGGGTCCCTGAGCTGGAGCCAATTCAACAGCACCTAGCAACATTTCTGAGCTCATTATTCTCGTTCATTGACTTGTGTGTGTCTCAATGCCAGTGCCACAGTCTTGATTGCTGTGGTCCTATCATACATTTTCAGATGACATAGACTCTTTCTTCTTGTTTCACTCTTGTTTTTCAAAATTTCTGTATTCACATTCCTTTGTTTTCCATATATGTTTAGAATACTACCTTATTTTAAACCATGTTGGGATCTATCCCTCTAAATTTGGGTATCAATTTGGAGAGAATTGATGTCTTTATGACATTGAATCTTTCAGTCCATGAACAAAGTATGTGTCATCATTTATTTAGATTTTTTTAATGAGTGCTTTGTCATTTAAAAACATCTTTTATTAAATTAATTATCCATAGTATATAAAGTACAATTGATTTTACAATGTTTATCTTCCATTTTACCACCTTGCTGAATTCACTTATTAGTTCGATGAGAGGTATTTTGTTTTATTTTTGGATTTTTGATTCCTTGGGATTTTCTATGTAAACAATCGCTTCATCTGTTAATAGCGACAGATATATTTCTTTTTATCTGATTTTTATGCTTTTTATTTTATTTCCTTGCCTTATTGCCCTGACTAGAATTCCCAGGACTATGTTGATTTAAGAGTGGTAAGTGCAGACATTCTTACCTTTTTCCTGATCTTAGCGTGAAAGCATTCAGTCTTTCACCAGGAAGTACAATATTAGTTGCATAGCTATCTTTTCCACATGTTCTTTATCAAGTTGAATAAGTTGTCCTCTGTGTAGTTACATGCTGTCAGTTCAGTTCTACTCCACTTGCCCCTACAGCTTCCTATACTGTAGTCTTGCCTTGAGCAGATGGCCAGCTCTTTGCTCCTGCAGAGTGAGTAGTTGGTGGGTTCAAATCGTTGACCTTTTGGTTAGCAGCCAAGCTCTTAACCATTGTACCACCCAGCCTCCTAATTCCCCTCTACTCCTAATGTTATGAGAATTACATATCGAATGGTTGTTGAATCTTGTCAACTGCTTTTCTACATTCATTTATAGGATCATGTGATTTTTTTTTGTTTCATCTGTTAATGTGGTAAATTGTATTGATTAATTTTCAAATATTGGACCAAGTATGAATCCTGGAATAAATCCACTTAATCGTGATATATAATTACATATGTATCTGTGTATATTTTTGTACCTATAGTCTTGCTTACTACTGATCTGTAGTTTTCTGGTTTTGTACTATCTACACTTGGCCTCAGAGTAATATTAGCTTCATAAAATAAATTGAGAAATGTTTCCGCTGTACCTGTTTTTTTGTAAGTGATTGTATTCAATTGGTACTAATTCTTTAAATTTTTAGTGTAATTCTCCAGTGAAACCACCTGACCTGATCATTTATTTTTTATGGTTTTTAAAATTACAAATTCAATTTCCTTTAGTAACCAAAAAGAAAAAAGGACTCATTGCTATCAAGTCAATGCTGACT